AAATTATTTTTGCAGTTGTATACTTAGCTCCAAATGATTTTTGGAGTTAGCCAGTAACTCCAGAATTCATATTTCAACTCAGTCTTGAATTACACAAGTTACTCAAGTGTATATTTTGGTTTGGAGTTAGCCCTTTAGACTTTGGATGTAGCGTCGCTCCATAACTTCCTACTTTCTACAGGCATGAATAATGGTTTTCGTGATACATACTGTCACGTTGTCGAGATACCATAAAAACCACCAGAATGTTGTCTTGAAGACAAAAGAGAGTTTTAGATTGACGTTTACGGCAAACTTCAAACCGCTAACGAAGTTTTTGATTTTACAACTCTATTATAACAGCTTTTACACCAGTTTCGAAATATATTAATTTAAGCAATTATTAAACTTGTGATATTTAACAATGATTCCAGAAAAAAAATTAACCACTAGTTATGTACATATTCATCAAAGCAATAAATTAAGATCTGACGTTTGAAGTTGACCTTTGGCCTATAAACTTAATGCTTGAACTTTTACGAGGGCTTGTAGTCGTTAAAGCATGAAATTTATACGCCAAACGTAAACTTCAAACGCTAAATCTTAATTACTGCTTCGGTGAATAGGTGGTTAATTTGTTTTCTTGAATCATTGTTAAATACCACAAGTTTAATAATTGTTTAATATATTTCAACACTGGTGTAAAAGCTGTTATAATAGAGTTGTAAAATCAAAAACGTCGTTAGCGGTTTGCCGTTTGCCGTTAACGTCAATCTAAAACTCTCTATTAGATATAGCCGGGAGTAAAATGTACTGCCACGCCAATTTCACGTCTTTATCATGTCAATCGTATCGTCTTTGCTATAGCTATCAAATTAATGCGGGCCTATAGTTCGTTTTGTGGGTAACTAGTTTTCTCAAGGCATGATAGTGAACCTCTTTATTCCGGATGTCTCTGAGGAATCATTTTGGGTCAAGAACATATTTCTGTTTTAACAGGGAATTTTAAATCCACCTCATTATGGCTGCTCCTCCAGAACCACCAGAAGCGCCAGCCGGTGATCTCGATGTTGATTTGGAACTCACAAACAATAGAATAAGGTTAAGATTCAGATGCAGCACGAGTATGGCAGTCATACTAGGTGTGACAGGCGTTACTCTAGGTGCCATTTTCGGCAGAGAAAAAATCAAACCTATTGTGGAAAGCATATGCAAGTCTGTCTTTGGTTTCTGCAGAGTTACCGCAGGATCCATACTTGTCGATGTTGACTGTTTTACAGTAGCGCGTGTGAAAGGACTACTAGATAGTTACAAGTGTGGAAATCTCAAAAGAATATTTTTGGAAGAGCTACGTAAGGTTGGCGGAATGGTCGAAGATTTAAAGATAAAATTTGAGGTTCAGGAAACTTTGGAACTAAACATAGATCGCAAACTAAGGTTTGTTTCATTCTACTATGTTAACGTTGTGGGATTAATGTTCATAAACCTCACCTCAAAGAGGTATACAAGATAATGGCAGAAAAAACAACCTCATGTTAGTCTCACATAATAACAAGTAGCGTAGCCAAAATCCTCGCGCTGGTGTAGAATGTATCTCACGTTAGCTGTTAGTTTCCTTTGGGTAGCAAATGTGAAATTAACTCGTACGTTTTCTGTAGTCGACATAGTCTCGCGTTTCGTGTGACAAATATTCCAGGCTTTTTTTTAAAGTTAACAAACAGCAGGAACCACTTTTAGTGTTTATCTTGCAACGAAGAACATAAGTTTTTCGTTATCTTTTGTAAAGTTGAAATTAAAATCAGGGGTGTAAAAGGTTTGACAAACTTGGGGAATGGAGGGTGGGGGTGGAGGAGCAATTCTCCTGTTTCCAATGCGAATCTATGCTATCGGTGAGTTAAGACGTAATTAAAAATACTCAATTATTTTTGTTGTAGGCGAAAGCTATTTCTTGCCGCCTTTGCACGCAAAGCTATGTCTGTTTAAAATGTAGAAAATCTATAACTTATAACCTGTAACTTATAACTTTAATTATAACTTGTTACAGAAATAAAAGGTCTAAGCTTGTCTAAAAGTACACACGAGTGACCACGAATGACACGTATGACCACGAATGACCATGCATGAGTGATTTCTGTGTTTAAAAACCAATAAAATAATAATAAAAACTATTTTAAGGTTGCTCCCTTTATGATTTTTAAACACAGAATTCACTCGTGGTCATTCGTGGTCACTCGTGCATGTGTACGTACTTTTAGACAAGATCTAATAATAATGTCGTTTTATTTCCAAAGATAAAAATACATAAAATACCAGTCATGATTATTCCCAACAATAGGTTTCTGTAGGCTTTGTTTATATTGCTTTAATTAGTTTAATCACTTATATTGTTGTATATAAGGAGGGTAATTTACTATATTCATTTACTTTTTGACGAAGGCGGTGGCATGCTGC